CGTGGAGGGGGCGGGGCGCTGAGGCCGGCGCCGGGGGTCGCGGGGATGGAGGAAAGGGCAGCGAGGAGCTGGCGTGTCGGGAGCGCGGCGCCGGCCCGGACTGGGCCGAGCCGGGGAGGTTTCTGCGCCTCGGGGGACCCCGGGGGTGGCTTGGGAGGCTGAACCTTTCCTCGGACCTCTCGGAAGCCCGTGACATCGTAGGCGGGGGACCTGGAAGGGGGCGAGCGGGAAATTGGGGTCTGGCGCTGGTTTCTCTTTCCGCGTGACCTTGGGCCACGGCACCTCCTGGAGCGCCGTGTGTGTTTTTATAACGTTCCCCAGGGCCGGCTCAGCACTGTGGAGGCGCGTTCACGCCCCGTTCAGCCCGGAGCCGCAGGAATTATTATCCCCGGTTCAGAAACCGAGGCCCCAGAGGAGGAAGAGGTGACTGGTTCAGGGCCACACAGCCGGTGGCCGGGACCCAGCCCTTGTGCACGCCTCCTGCAGCCTCAGTTCCTGTCCGTGGTGCTGAGCGCCTCGAGGCCTAGAGGCTCAGGGCGGGAGGCGTGGGGACGGACGGACGGGGTGCCGTTCCCGCAGGGGGGCCGTCGCAGCTACCGGGCCACTGGCCAAAGGTGCCTGCCTCAGGGCTGCTGGCTTTGTGGACGCTGTCACCTTACCCCCGCCCCCTTCCCCGCAGGAGACAGCGCGTGATAGTGACTAATGCTGCACCTTTGCCCCAGGAGGGGGGACAAGGGACCCTGCTCCCCTTTCCTGCACACCACTCCCCTTTGTCCCCGCCGCCTCAATCCTTCCTGGAAATAAGTGGGGTACAGATAAATATGAAAATTACAGATCCTACTTTATGGAACATGAACTGGACAAAAGGTCTCCCTGGCTGCCAAAGGCTTAGGAAATCCTATGCCTGGTGCGCAGGAAATGGCTTCTGTGCAGGGATTTCACAGTCTGCCGGAAGCAAAAATCATTTTTAAAAGAGTGTATACTTGGCTGAAATTGCCCCAAGAAAAATAGTCTTTTTTTTTTTTTTTAAAGATGACCGGTAAGGGGATCTTAACTCCTGACTTGGTGTTGTCAGCACCACGCTCACACAGTGAGCAAACCGGCCATCCCTATATGGGATCCGAACCCGGGGCCTTGGTGTTATCAGCACCGCACTCTACCGAGTGAGCCACGGGCCGGCCCGAAAAGGGACTTTTGACAAGGCTGCTGTAGAGACCAGCCTGGAGGTTGAACTGGAGGGAGGTAGGAGAGGACTCGTGCTAGGATGGAGTCCTAGCCAAGGTGGGAGTCCCACTGGATGTTTGAAAGGCCGAGAAATCAATGTCTCCAGTCAGGGAGACCATTTAGATATGGGACCCAAGGACACTGTCTAAAAATACCAGCCCACAGGGAGGTGGGGCCCTGTCAATGGCCTGCCCAGGTTACAGGCCCTTTATCCCACTGTCCCGTGGCACCAGTCTGGTAACCTCAGAGGGATGTTGGAAGTCTGGCCAGGAGGAAGGGGCACTAGAAGTAAGGGGTGAGCCTTGACAATTTGAAATAACTCTGGCCTCTGCTGTTTTGGGCTATGAAAACTCACAGCACATTTGTGGGATCACAGTTCCCTATAGGAGTAAGAGTTTGCTTCCTTAAAGATGTTACCTGATTAAAGATGTTGGAAAAGTTCCTGGGGCCCAACCTTGAAAGGAAAGTGGAATGTGGGATACGTAGCTGCGCTCTGGGACTACTTGTAGGGTTGGAGTGGGTGGAGACAGGTAACTTTAAGCACAACGTAATGCTACTCGAAGCTTTGATTTCCCCTCTAGGCTCCTTGAATCCTGCATTCTAATTTGTGGGAAGTCAGTGTAATTTTTGAGTGCATCCATCGCCCTGGCCTTTGAGGAGCCGGAAGTATGGGGGTGGATGCAGCTTCCCACCTGTCTCACCTTCTCCTTCAACAGTTCCGCTCACCTGTTCTTCAGAAGAGGGCTCTGGGGCATGTGAGGGAACACCAGGTTCACAGAATGGAGGTGATTTGTTTCAACCAGATGGTTTGAGTGCTCAGAGAAGGCTGATGTCACAGGATGAAGGTTAAATTTTTTTTTTTTTTTTTTTTTGTCTTTTTTCCGTGTCCGGCAATGGATCGCAACCCTCAGTGTCGCCCCCGTACCGGACTGGGACCGGCAACGGGATCGCAACCCTTGGCGTCGCCCCCGCGCCTCGCTCAGCCAGTGAGCGGGAACCGGTCTGTATGTGGGATCCGAACCCTCGGGCGGGAGCACCGCCGTGTTTCCCAAGCGGCGCACTATCCAGTGCGCCACCGGGCCGGCCCAGAAGGTTAAATTTTAAGGATGTGACTTAGGGCACATCAGTCATGTGTCTGGGAGTGGCTTGCCTTTACCAAAGCCTTCTTTCTGCCAGTTTCACCAAAGCCTTCTCTCTCGCCAGCTTCTCCCCACCCTTAGCACACTCAGAGGTCACCCTGCCTGGGCCCACAAGGGGGTCTACATGGGGATGTTGGCCAAAGCTCCTCTCACCAGCAATGTTAGAGACCTCACCAGAATCCTCGCAATAACTCCGGAGCTCAGTTCTGTTATCTCCATTTCACAAATCTGGAAACTGAGGCTCAGAGCAGTTAATAACTCACCCAAGACCAAACAGGAAGTTAATGGCAGAGCTCGGTGTTGAACCCAGGCAGCTTGGCTGCACAGCTTGCCACAGTACCACCTCAAGAGTCCCCATGATCCCGCAGCCCCCACCATCTGGGTCAGTCACTCAGGGCTTCTCGATTGACTCTCCCAAGAATGAGAATCTGACTTGTCCAGCTTGTCTTTGAATGCCCTGAGGCAGTGACCAGCCCATGAGTTGGCATCTTTGGGTCAAGTGCCCAGGCCTGGTCCAATCAGCTGCAACTAGGTTGCTGGTACCAGACATGGCTACCTGAGCAGTAGGGGCTGGAGACAGGACAGGTGTCTTGGAAGGGGTGGCTATGGCAGGAATTCCGAAGTTAGGTGCAGGTGCTGTAATGCACATGTGAGTATATAACACACATACGTGCAAACCCATATTCATACATTTAACACACACGGAGCTTAGATGACGGGAGCAGTGAGGCAAGGGGTCTCTGGGGCCCTCCTCCTCCATCTACTCAGTGTCCCTTTTTGCCCCTAGAGGTGAGGACTGGTGCCCAAAGGGCGTGCTTGTGACATGAATAAAGGACCTGAGTCACATGGAGCCTTCTTCAAAGCTGGGACTTGCATGTGGCACTCCTGGAGGGGGACACGGTCCTCCAGCGGCAGCCCAGGTCAGATCGTGGAGGTGGAGGGGGCCTGTGTGAGCAGCTGTAAGCCTGCAGGGGGGAGCCTGCATCACACAGCGGAGTAGAGCAGCGGCTCTGGAGCCTGACAGCCTGGATTTGAATCCTGCCTCCACCACTGTCCCAGTGTATGCCTTCAGGCAGGCTACTTACCTTCTTTGGGCCTCAATTTCCTTGTCTGTAAAATGGGTATAATAGTCTACCTCATGGCAGGGAGAGGGTGGGTTGTGAGGATTAATGAGATAAAGCATAAAAAGTGTTTCATACAGTGCCTAGCACATAAAAAATATCAGCTATATGAGTGTATTACATACACACACATTTTCTCACTATATACAGTTCCTTGCAAGAGGTAGAGCAGTTATTTTTGTTTTGCTTCTATTTAATAGCTGTGGAGACAGCCCTGCAGAGGACTTGGCAGCACTGGGTATGTGGAAAGCTCACCTGCCAGGCTCCCGCTCCCATCTAGACTTGCAACACTGCCCACAGCCACCTCTCTCTTTCCTCACCCTTGTTTGTTGGTTTGTTTATTGTCTGTCTCCCCAACAGAGTGGAGCCTCCATGAGAGCAGGGTCCTTGCCAGTCCTGTTCTCTACACTGGTGTCCAGCACAGGCCCTGATGTTCATAGACACTAAGAAATATTTGCTGAATCAGTGAAGACCTGGCTCAGCACTTACAAACTTTGAGCTGAGCCTCAGTTTCCTCAACTGTAAAAGTGGGATTTATAATACCCAATGCACAAAGCTGTTATGAGGATTGAATGAGAGGATGTGTGTGAAGCGTGGCATACAGGAAGCACCCGTGGTGTTGCTATGTGCAGCATGTTGCATGGTACATCCTCTCTGCCAGTGGCCAGCGTTCAGCGATGAATAATGCATACACCCATGGAAGACAATGTCGTGTAAGAAAAGAATTCGAACTGCAATGTATCCTCTGATGGCCAAGATGTCCATATCTATGCACAAGAGACGAGGCTTAGAGAGAAATTTGCTATGGCAGGCACTGGTCCTGCGGAGAGATTGTTCACATTACAAAATCTTTTGGGCCGGCCCGGTGGCGCACTGGATAAGTGCGCCGCTTGGGAAGCGCGGCGGCGCTCCCGCCCGAGGGTTTGGATCCCACATACAGACCGGTTCCCGCTCACTTGCTGAGCGAGGCACGGGGGCAACACTGAGGGTTGCGATCCGTTGCCGGACACGGAAAGACAAAAAAAAAAAAAAAATCTTTTTTTTCTGGGGCAAAAGAAAAAAATTTTCAAAAGCTCTGCAATTGATGCTGAATTCAGAGCGCAAACTCAGAGAGTATGGTTGATGGGCCTTAAAAGGGATAGGGGGAGATTGTGAGGTCCCTGTCAGTCCCTTAAATTCCAGCTGACTGTTTCCTCTGCTCTGGCTTTGAGCCTTTTGCCTGTGTCCAGCACCTTAGAACTTTCCCAGCCAGCAGGGAGGTGAGTATCATTAACACCTCATCTCCCATTTGAGAAGGGAGCCTCACTGGGGGTGAAACCATTTGTTCAAAGCTAGCGGGCCACAGAGACTCCACCCAGGATCCCATCCAGGGGAGCCTCGTCCTTTACCAAAAGTACCTTTGGCCCAGGAAGCACTGGACACTCAGTACAGTGGGATTCCCTGGCTGTGCTGTGCTCCACACCCCATCCCAGACTGCCCCAGGACCGGGCGCCCCACTCCAGTTCTGAGCCTTAAAATATTGATGAGAGCACGAACAGGCCAAGGGGCTGAAATCCTACACGCTCAGGATTGGGTTACAGCCCTAGTCAGCGGAGCGACGTGGAGCTGGGCCTTTCATGGAGTGCCTGGATTTGGCCCAGGAAGCTCTGTAAACTACAGGCTGAGCATGCCCCATGACTTCCTGGAGGTGTCTAAGCCCAAGCGTGTTCTTATCATCAGCCTTGGCACCCACAGCCTGCGCCTTAAAAAAGGCTGAGTGGAAGCAGGTGACTGCAATGCCCATGTGTCCGGTGGATGGGGCAAGCACTCCCTCCACCCCATATAGCATGTGGGTGAAGAAGAAAAGAGGCCAGAGAGAACTGAAGAAAGAAGTGAAGTCACTCCACGTGTGCACTGTAAGTGGCTTGTTCCTCTGGGCCTAAGAAACTGGCCTTTTATTTGAATTGACATCAGGAAACCCATTGTTTAGACAAAGATAAGTATATCATTTGACTTGGCATCAGAAACACAATCAACTTTGTTCTATAGATCAAAATTGTGCTGGAAACCCCATGTAATCACTTACCTGTTATGTTTCATTTATTTATTTATTTATTAACCTATTATGTTTTAAAACAATACTCAGAATCTTGTTTACTGCTTATGTTTTCCAGTACTCTTACCATAAAAACCTCTTGCTTTTTACAAGTGGGCAGACTTTCCCTCATCTTGAGAGAAGCAAACCCAATAAATGTCTCCTAAAAATTTCCTTACAGACTGAAGTGTTTTGCTTCAACATGGGTAAAAAAATCTGTCTTTGGAGGTCATGCTGCTATCCACTGTGTAACCTTGGACAGGCATGCCTTGGGTTGAATGTCCCCCCAAAACTTAGTCCCCACTGTGACTGTTGAGGGTGGGACATCCTATTATGGCAATTGAAAGGTGGGGCCTTGAAGAGGTGATTGGACTGTAGGACTGTGCAGTAGTGAATGGATTAATAATGGTGGTCAGGGGTGTGGTTTGGAGGACTTTAAATAGAGAGTGAATGAGGAGGTTACTCTGCTCTCTGCTCTACCATTTCTGCAATGTGATACCCTGCTGTCACTGTCACCACCACCAAGGTCTTTACCAGCTGTGTTCCCTGGACTTTGGACTTCCCAGCCTCAGAAACTGTAAGCGATAAATTTCATTTTTTTTAATAAATTACCTAGTTTCGTATATTTTGTTATAAGCAACAGAAATGGACTAATACAGGAAATTGGTACCGAGAGTGGGGAGTTGCTTATAACAAATACTTGAAAATGTGGGAACGGCGTTAGAACTGGGTGTTAAGCAAAGGCTGGAGGAATTTGGAGGACTCAGAAGAAGACAAAGAGATGAGGGAAAGTTTGGAATGTCTTAGAGACTGGTTACGGGGTGGTGAGCAGAATGTTGATAGAAATATGGACTGTAAAGACCCTTCTAAGGAGGTCTCAGATGTACATGAAAAGGGACTTATTGAAAACTGGGGCAAAGGTCACCCTTCCTATGAACTGGCAAGGAACTTGGCTGCATTCTGTTCATGTCCAACAGCTTTATGGAATGTGGAACTTCAAGGTGCTGACCCAGGGTATTTGGTGGAAGAAATTTCTAAGCAGCAAAGCATTAAGGAAGCTGCATAACTACCTGCAACAGCCTATGCTGAATTACAGCAGAAAATACATGAGGTGAAGCCAGAATTTAAAAGCGAATCAGAGCATAAAGATTTAGAAAATGTGCAGCCTGGCCATGTGGTAGAGAAGCAGAGAGCATTTTCAGAAGAAAAATGCAATGGTGCTAAGAAGATTAGTACAAAAGAAAGGGGGCCGGCCCGGTGGCGCACTGGATAGTAACCGAGGGTTGCGATCCGTTGCCGGACACGGAAAAAGACAAAAGACAAAAAAAAAAAAAAAAAAAAGAAAGGGATTGTCAAGGGGTGGAGGAAAAAGCCCTGAAGGCATTGCAGAAGCTTAGTGGTCAACCCTTCCATTATAGGCCCAAAGGCCTAGGGAGAAGAATGGTCTTGGGGAACAGGCCTCAGGAACCCTCCATGGGCTCACTGCCGAGGATCACCTCAGGAAGCTACTTCCAGCACCAGCGCCCTGGGGGGGGGGCATGCTTTGACTGTGCCAGCTGTGGCTAAATTGGTCCCAGATGTGGATGGACCCAAAGCTTTGGAAAATACAAACCAGAAGGCTTGGCAGTGTCCACATGGTGTTAGGTCTGCAGGTCCACAGAATGCCAGAGCTCTGAAGGCTTAGGATCCTCCACCCCGATTTCAAAGGGTTTATGGAAAAATCTGGAGGCTCAGGAAGACATCTGTCATAGGGGTAGATTCACTGCAGACAGCCTTCACTAGAGCAATGTCAAGTGGAAGCGTGGAGTCAGAGTTGCAGCAGAGAAACCCCATCAGTGCCACGCTGAGAGCGGGACAGCCATGGAGACCCCAGACTTGTGGAGCTACCAGAGTGGAACACCAGCCTGGGAGAGCTGAAGTGTGGCCTGAGACCAGGAAAGCCATAGGAGCAGAGCTGCCCGAAGACTTGGGGTCCCAACCCCCACACCAGCATGCAGAGGACACTGAACATGGAGTCAAGGTACATGATTTGCCAGCTTTGAGATTTAACACCTGCCCTGATGGGTTTCGTACTTGTTTGGAAACTGTTACCCTTTTCTTTTGGCCTATTTCTTCCTTTTTGAATGGGAATATGTACCCTATGCTTGTCCCACCATTGTATCT